TAGAAAAAGAGGCTCAGAAATGATACTTTCACTTCCTTAGAGAACTATTTATTTCCTCATTAGAGCAGTACCAAAAATAAAAAAATACTAAGCTTTAATACAATTATACTTCTATCACTAATTTTATAGAAGTGCCATCACTTATTTTACCAATCCCTATTTTTGGACATTTGGATTATTTCCAATGTTGCACTATTATAGTGATTCTAGAAATGTAATACGACCCACAGAGAATACAGAAACCCTTTCAGGGAGTTTATGAGGTCAACTCATTTCATAGTAATAGTAAGGTATTATTTGCCTGTTTTCACCATGATGACAGTTGCAGTTATATTTACAAACCAAAGGTGGATGAAACTGCTAGTGCTTGAATCAAGGCTGTGTCACCAAATCATGCTAGCCATTGTATTCTTTACCACTAGGTACCCACTTAAAAAAAAGTCAGTTACAATTAAGAATGTCCTTTAGGAGGTTTCTCAAAACACTGAAAATAGAAATACCATACAAAACCATACAACCCAGTAATTCCACTTCTGGGAATTTACCCAAAGAACACAAAACCACTAATTCAAAATGATATATGATATGCACTCCTATGTATATCCCACCATTATTTACAATAGCCAAGATATGGAAGCAACCTAAGTGTCTACTGATAGATGACTAGATAACAAATATGTGGTATATATATATATATATATATATATACACAATGGAATATTACTCAGACATAAAAGAACTAAATCTTGCCATTTGTGAAAACATGGATGCACCTAGAGGGTAGTAGGCTAAGTGAAATAAGTCAGACAGAGACAATACCATATGATTTCACTTACATGTGGAATCTAAAAACAAAACAGATAAAAATAAATAGATTAATAGATTCATAAATACAAAGAACAGACTGGGGGTTACCACAGGGGAGAGGAATAGGGGGAAAAGAATTAGTGAGAATGTCTGATATCTTCATCTGGGTGGTAGTTAAATGAGTATACACACATCAAAATGCATCTAGCTGTATCCTAAGATTCGTGCAGTTTATTGTAGGTACCGCAATGAAAAAAAATTGTTAATTAAAAACAGAAGACTCTCCCTTACAAAGAGTAAAAAATGTTTCTTTTCTTAAATCTTAATCATTAAATACATGTCTTTTTAATATTCTGAGTGATAAATGAAGTATACATGAAGTTTTTCTATAGAATACTAAAATAGAATGATTGTCTTCAAACGCACTAACGCTATTACTGAGTTAACTAGCTGCTTTTCTCACAGAACACCATTTTTACTTCAAAGAACTACATAATATTCAGAAATGGATCTCTGTCAGACTTATTCCCCAAAATAAGTAAAACAGTCTGCCACTTCAAGGAAAACAACTAACAGCATTTGTTACCAATGTTAAGTACGATTTTTTAAAAATCAGAATTTTGGAAACTTAGTAGCTTTCCAATATTTAAAAGACTTTTCTGAAAGATTGGTGTGATATTTTTTAAATGTGATTTTTCAAAATATTTTGTCAATATTTGAATACTCAAATGATAAATGATGCTACAAAATCATCCTTAGACAAAATATTAATTCATTCAAAGTGCAAGACAGACAAATGAATTTTAATGTTACAAAAGACAAAAGGGTCATTGATAAGAGCTTCAGAGTCCCTTTGCACTAACTTTTAAGGAACTAGCATTTGTTGAGTTTGGAGTAGTATCAAAGAAGAACTCCACAATCATCTAAAATGGTTATTAAAATATAGCTCCCTTTTCCAACTAGATATCTCTCTGAGGTCAAATTTTCTCCACATTCTTCAACCAAAACAATATACTGCAAAATATTTAATGCACAAGACAATATAAGAATCTAGCTGTCATCTGTTAAGCCAAAGACTGAAATATCTGAACTCCTCTCTACAGTTTTTTTTTGGAAAACACAGTCGTCTTTTATAACGATAGGTAACATTTAATGAGGTTATTACTCTTAATAAATAAATGTCTTAATACTTCCTAATTTTGTTTTAACTTCTAATACTACTAAATATTGGTAAGTGTAACCACATGAACAAAAATTCTTTGGAATCTTCAATAATTTTTAAAAGTATAAAGAAGATATAAAGTTTGAGAAGATATAAAAACTATAAAGTTTGGAAACTGCCACACTATTACAAGTCATTCAAGTATCCTTACAGATAAATCTCTGTTCCCATCCTTAATTTTCTTTAGGCTAAAGTGCTAAAAATGGGATTATTACATAGAAAGATATGTCCATTTTCAAAGCATGACATACGCCAACTGCCCTCCTGAAACTTTTTCAGTTTGTATTACTATCAACAGATTACGTGCATGCATGTTTAATGGCATTTTCACCAACCTGCAACACTTTAACTTTTGTCAACATGATGGGCAAAACAATTATTTAATTTGCATTCTTTTACTAGCAAGTTTAATATTTTAATATTAACTACAATAATTTAAACTCAAGTATAAATATAATGTTAAGTATAATAATTAGCATTAAATAAATCACTTAATACTCTCCCTAAGTTTAGTGAATTTTGCTGTTCTTTGTGGAAGGAACTTGAGGACTACAAATAAATAAATGGTTAAGGCAATCATATATATTTTCCATATTGGAAAAAAACTTTCAAACTAATGCTTTTATTCGAGCTGTTATGGTTTAGAACACATGTGAATTTTTAAAATGACTTAATTAACATAAAATTCTGCTACGAAGTTTTTTTTACATATATATCAGTATTAAAAGGGACTAAATTAAATGTTAAAGTACCACTGATCTATTAAACTGTCCAGCAGTCAACAGGTTATTAACCACAGTCTCCTAAATAAAATTTAAGAATGAGGAAAAAGATTTCTCTCTAAGAATGGTATTGAAACCACTGGTTGCATTGTACAGAATTCTTCTGGTGTCGAGATCTTAAAAATTTTTGAGGACCACAAAGAACTTTTGTTTCCAAGGGTTATAGTTATCATATGTATTTTCTTTACAAGTATAGCCTATTATTATTTATGAAAAGCCCTTTAAAGGGGTCCTTTCTCAAAAGAATTGTGTATTGAAAAGAAAACTCTGGGATACATTTTTTTCCTTGGTAAAATAAAACTGTTAAAAATGCAAGTTCTGGAAAGACAAGTGCCAAATGATTTCCCTCATTTGTGGAGTATAGCAACAAAGCGAAACTGAAGGAACAAAAGAGCAGCAGACTCTCAAACTCCAAGAAGGGATTAGCAGTTACCAAAGGGGAGGGGTGAGGGAGGGCGGGTAGAGAGGAAGGGAGAAGGGGATTGATGGGTATTATGATTAGTACACATGGTGTGGGGGGGATCATGGGGAAGACAGTGTAGCACAGAGAAGTAGTGATTCTGTGGCACCTTACTACACTGATGCACAGTGACTTCAATAGGGTATGGAGGGGACTTGATAATATGGGTGAATGTAGTAACCACATTGTTTTTCATGTGAAACCTTCATAAGAGTGTATATCAATGACACCTTAAAAATAAAAAAAAATACAAGTTCTGATTTGCTTTCCTCATCTCAGTAGATCACACAGAGCACTATGAAGACCACTAATCTATCCCTAATATTCTCTAATCTTTATGTACATTACAATATATCACAAATAGCAGCTAATTAGTATATGTATATAATTTATGAATAAAGTTTCTATCTTTTGTTCACCGCAATATTCTCCAGCATCAAGAATGCCTAACAGGCAACAAAGAATTGTTTAATGAGTCAGTATCCTATGACTTCTACATCTGTTTGTTCTTTGTCCCTGCCACTGCTTATACATACACTGTGAGAATATCTCAGAAAAGAAAGCCAAGAGATGATTATGAAAGCAGAAACCTGGATTAAGACCTATGTTTTCACTTTTAGAGCAATTCCCACATTTATATTATTAAATTTTGGAAACTTTACATAAAGATTCCACATCAAGCTTATGACCACCCCCACCAAAAAAAAAATCACTGAAGATGCAGGAATTGTTAACATTATAGTAAGAATTTTAGGGAAGCAAAATGAAACACTTAGCAGGAAACAAGATGAAACACTGATTATATCAATAAATCTGGTTAGATGCAAAAGCTGAACTTGGGGTACCAGCTACTTAAAGTTTATCAGTGTCAATATGTTATAAATTGTGCAGGTCTTATGAATCTTTTTGTTCTGAAATGTTTTTGAATATTTGAATGTGGAATTATTCTAAACTTAAATTGTTTCTAGCAAACTATAGCTCAAAACTTGTTAATAGATCTCAACTGGAGGTTACCCATTAGTAGTATACCTAGAGCCATGTTTTTAGTTATACTGACAGAAACAGTTTTTTATAACTTAGTTCTGAATCTATTACTGGAGGTTACCCATTAGTAGTATACCTAGAGTCATGTTTTTAGTTATACTGACAGAAACAGTTTTTTATAACTTAGTTCTGAATCTAGCTAATTCCTTTAACTGAAACAGGCAATTAATTTTTTTACTGATAGAGAGTTAATGCACTATTTTCAAAAGTCATCTTCTATTCCTCAAATTAAACATTATTTCTCAGTTATTTATGAATGTGGGGGAAAATAATATTATGCATCATATAGCAAAATTATATTATGAAATAATTCAATCAAGGAGTAAGAGAATACATTCACATACCCATCACCCTGCTTTGCATTAACATTTTACCATAATTTGTTTCAGATTCTTAAGAAAAGTTACATGTCATTAAAATCTACCTATCCCTCTACAATATCACTTTACCTATCCTGTGAACTATTATAAAATTACTGTTTCCCCATCTGTCCATGTGTTTATACCTTACTATATTATATGTCAGTGACAGTATTGCTCTTTTGTACATAATAGGAATTATATTGTATCTATTCTATTAAAAAAATTTATTCAAAATTATGTTTGAAATAAATGAACTCTAGTTAGTAAATGACAGGCATACTTCACTGTTAAATGGTCAAATATTACTAATATCTGAAACTTACTGTGAAATGCATCAATTGCCCATCTGTTTAGGGTCCTCCAGGATTTTACTCCCCAGGGCAATACACCATAGTAAGATGCTGAATAGGTAGGAAGGCATCAATGGCAGGCATCTGTTCCTGGGAAAGATAATGAAGAACTCTTAAAATTATCTTAAAACTATTCATTCTCTTCATGCTCTTTGTAAACTCCACATAATTCAGTGCCATGATACTGCCCTAGAGAAACTCTTGCACTTATGTCTTAGGAATCACGTGCAACAATGTTCCCAAACTGGAAAAAACCAACAAGAGAGAATAAACACATTCTTTCATCAAGGAGGGAACCCCAAAAGAGAATAAACACACTCTGCTATCGACAGACAATGGAATACAATACTGAAATTAAAATTAATTAAGATATATCTCACAGAGTTGAATAAAAGAAGTTAAGTCACTACAGAATGAATATATATGCTGTTATTCCACTGTCAAGAAGTTTAAAGGGATAAAACTTGTAAGGAAAAGGTTATCACAAAAGTCAGGATAATAAAGGAGAAAGAAACATGAGCAGGGGTGGGGGACTTGTAATGTGATGAACATGGTCTATTTCTTAACCTAGGTTGTGATGGAGTGAACACTGTAACTGTATTTAAACTATATATGTTTTACACCTTCTCCTACATGTACATTTCAGTTTTAAAGAAAGGTTAATGAATTGCCCCATTACAGTATTAAGCTTCCATTTAGTATTTGGATATAAAAAATAATATGCACATAAACTCAGTTATTAAAAATCAACATCTCATTTTTATAGTTGTACTATGAAATTTTTTAGTTTCACTGTTTATATGGAAATTAAAAAGAGCTGATACCCCTACTATGCAGCAATTAAAGGAAAGTTCTGAATTCCTACCGGGAAGGGGTTGGGGGGAGAAAATGAAAGTGAAAAAAGTTTAGGAGGAGTTTTCTGATGATGAAGATGGTGTTAATGTAGATATTTCTAACTGGAGGACAGGTAATCAAAATATTTCAGCACAGAAATCTGTATAACCAAAGCTCAGCTGTGTAATTTCTCCCTCTCTACTAACAAAGCAATGGCACATGAGCTATCTGTAGAGGTTGAAATGCCCAGGCATTTGTAGTATATAGATCAGCAGCTGCTTTTGCTATGGTATACAGACCATCTGAGAAGCGCCAAAGATAGAGGTGACAAAAACTTTCTCTTTACTAGGTTCTCTGCACTAATAGGAAAAAGATATTGCTCTAATAGTTAAAAACTGCGCTAATTGGGTGAGTTGACTCAATGATATCTCCACCATCTATATGAAGCAGCTCCTAAGCAAAGGAGCAAAATATCTGGCCAACTGATGGAAGAAAAATTCTTTTCAGACCATTAAACTGATGGGACTCTTCTCATTTCTACAAGTCTGTGAACACCTATGGCCATTAGATGTGATGTAAGGCAGAACCAACAAATCAACCATACAGTTCAATGTCCAAAGAAACCTCAAAAATCATATCTGAGAATAACATGGTAAAAAAAAAATCACTTCATATATAAGGTCCTTATTAAAAGGCAGATTGATGAACCAAACCATAGGCCTAATTAATGAATCAGAATCTCTGAAGTGAAGTCAGGTGATTCTCTATTACACCAAAGAAGGAGTGAAAATTACTGCTTTAGAAGGTATACTACCAGGTAAATTTTCTTTTTTTCTTTGAATGGTTACACTGTGCAAACACCAGACAGAGATCAAGGTGAAGTCTGCATACCTTTTAAAGATTTGCCACCCCTAACCTTAGCAGGACCTGTCCAACTGAGTGACCAACGGTTTAAAGCAGCAAATACTAACTGCCTCCTCATATGTGCTTAGTACTTTGTCAAAGGTTGAAAAAGAAAGAAACACAATAAAACATCTCCAACTCAAAGAGCTTATATTTTTATTCTTATTGGTGAAGACATTCTTCTTAACCTAGGCAAATAATCTTCATTGTTTACTACTAAAAATTCCTAAAGATCCGTAAGTTTTCCTAATTTAAATCTCAGCCATCTTTCATCTCTAGGTAAATAGTCTGAACTCGAATTTAACTTCTCAGTGGTTTGGTTATACTCTTTCCTTTTTTCACCTGAGTTACCAAGCCCTGTTTTCCCAGTAATAAATCTAAGTTTGTGAGGACACAAGCCAATGTTTTCTGGCATTCTGTGCTGTTTGTGGCTTAAAACAATGATGACCAACTACACTGTGGTGGATCTGATACTAAACTGGGTTCAGAGACTCAGAAATTTAGGATATATTCAAATTATATGCAAAGTAATTAAAAAATCCAAATTTCAGTTCTAAAGTAAATTTCTACCACCCCAATAAAACACATAAAGAAGTTAACAAAGGCTTTGTATTTTCCAGAAGGTCCTAAAGGTGCCTACTAAGTAAACTCTCAAAGGAGGACCAAAGGTATAACAAATAGAATGAGATTAATTATGCAAAGGTTAAATTCAAGTATAATGTTAGAATTAAAATCTAGAGCTAGACCTTTAGATTTTGTAAACTTATTTGCACAGTTTTACACACACACACACACAAATAAGGCATTATATATTATAAAGTATTTACCCTCCTAAAAAAATGAGGCAAAACTAAAGCAGAAATAAACCTTGGTATTTAGAAGTTCAAAGTAAATTGCCAACTCCTTTTATTTCTATCTCTTCTAGGCCCATTTTTTTTTTTTATTAAGGCATCATTGATATACAATCTTATGAAGGTTTCAGGTGAGCAACATTGTAACATTGTGGTTACAACTTTCACCCACAGCATCAAGTCCCCCCCAAACACCCCATTGCAGTCACTGTCCATTAGCATAGCAAGATGCTATAGAGGCACTACTTGTCTTCTCCATGCTACACTGTCCTTTAGGCCCATCAAACAAGTAATGTCACAAACAGTACTTCAACTCAACAATCCAAAAATGTTTCAACAATGAAAAAATTCTAATAGTGAAAAAAAGCTGGTGTAGAAATTAAACAAATGCATCATTTTCTCTCTGATGAAAAAGGAAATTTGAACAGATTTTCAAAAACACTGGTTGATTTGGTTTCATCTTATCACCAAAATTACCACCAAGCAACTTAATTAAGGTTTTATTTACTCTAAAGGAAAGACAGACCATTTCAAACCAAGTACCACTTGTTGGTCTGGACCCAGGCTGGAGGCCCTGCCATGAAGCACTGCTCAACCTCGAGCAAGTCACAGTACCTCTTTGGGCCACTCTTTTTTCATATATAAAAGTGAGGCAGTTGAACCATCTTCAGTCTTTTCAGCACTCAAGTTCTTTCAAATGGTAATTCTAAGTTTAATTCTGATGACTCAGGTTATGTTTATATGGTGAAAGGAAAGGAGTGGGAAGGGGGCAGGCCGCCTGGTCAGTGCCACTGGCCTTCCAGCGCATCCATGCTTTCTCCCCCAGTCTCCTTGAAGCCCCACCTCAGTCTTCTCCACCTAATTAAGAAACTGAAACATACGACCAGTATCTAATTTTATTTGAATTGCACTGGCATCTTAATTTTAAGAAACTAAATTCTTCCACCCTCTTTAATAAATAAAATCTTAATTATTTGCTTATTTGTATGCCCTTGATTTTCTTATGGTCACTGATTTTAAAACTCAAAAAAAGGAAAAGAAAAGAGAAATCATTGGATTTTTCACAAAGACCAGGCTAGAAGTAAATAGAGCCTCTGCTTACTCAAAGGCTGACTTGACTAACCAAGCAATATGCAAAGATGACAGCAAATGGATCAGAGATGAGTTGGTAAAATGTCTGGCTCTTTCTTTCTTGTAGGACCACAAAATTGAGATCTGTTAAGAACAATCCTTTCAAAGAGTAAGAAATTATAACTGCCGTTCTATCTTCCCTTTCAATTGACAGGCCTGAAAGCACTTGGAAAGTTCTTAACAGTGAATTCCCAAATAATCAATAATAAATGACTTAGCAAATTTTGTTTTCAAAAAATTTATTCATAACATTGCATATTCAACTTTCATTCAAATTTTGATTTCATAAGCAACTTTCTTAAGTAAAATACTACTACATTCAACTTCTCAGAATACTGAGAACTTCAAGGCACACCAGAATGTACACATGCCAAAATCTCATTTCAATGATGATAAATACTTCAGGACAAGACTGAGCAATATTTCACAAAAAATACTACTTTTTAAAATTCAAAGCAAGCACATTTTAAGAACAGTATAGAAGGCTAATACTTTTTTTTCTTTTTACACAAATTGAAATACTATATTTTCTTGCTAGTCATGCTTAAGTGTTACTCAGAACAAGTTTCTAATGTAAATTATAAAACTATTGTTTCTAATAGTAAATGAATCATTCGTCTTTCTTCCTTTTTATGTAATAATCACTTTTATCTAAATGACCATCTTCAACTTGTTTAGTTTTTAAAATTAAATGTTTAGTGTAATTTCATTAACTTTAAAAAAAGAAAAAAAGAAAATAACAAGCAACACCTATGACTGAGTTGTGCAAAACTTCCCCTTAAGTAAAAGGCTAAAACGAAACCAGGAATTTTTTTCCTTACCACCCATATTACACATGAATGGTACAGTTTACTTAACTGTAACTTCCTGGCTATCCCCACCAATACAATTAGACTTTTTTAATGAAAACTTGATCTAGTTTTCTTTGTGATATAAAAAGAAAAGAAAGAAAATTTTCTTTTTTTCTCAAGTCATACAAGGAAAGAAAAAAAATAATCACACAAAATATTTAAAAATCACTTTGACAAGATCTAAAACTTACCAGAATTGAATGCTTTGTTTTCCCTTAGCAGTTAAGTGCAATCAGGCATGTGACTGACTACACACATTTTTTCAGAGAGTTAAAGAACACATTCAGCCATGTTCTTCGACAGGTAAGAACCACCCTCCGTTTATCAGCTCAGGAAACAGCCAGAAGCAAACACGCAAAATCATAACAAGTTAGTACCTTCAAATATTCTCGTCCTCTCTTTGTCCTTTGGGCTTGAAAATAAAAAGCAATCCGGCAAGTTTTATGCTGTTAAAATGGCTCCTGTAGATTGGGGAAGTGATGTCTGTGCTTCAGCTTGTGAGTCATACGTGAAACTAAGT